GGGGCCACCATACGAGCTCCAATGCAAAGCGAAAAGATCTTCCTGTAAAGGTCTGACGCTGGCGAAGGGGCTATTGAAGCCGACTGCGGTGGCGTTGCACAACTTCCCGTGGCCAACTCATCGCCTGCTTCCATCAGGTGAGCCATAATCTCAACTTCTTAAAGGGGGTTGTATAAGGGATTATATAGGGGACTACTATGGGGGATATTAAGGGGATACTTGGAGTTTAGGCTACGGCTCTGGTGAATTACGTATTGATTGTTACTAAGGAGTAAAAGAGGACGAGATTGTAAACGGAAACTTCATTGGTGAGTGATTATATAGGGACTGCAATAGGGATCTGTTCCGCCCTTGCCTACTGCAAACTATTAAAAAGCATATGGCTGCAAATCTGCAACGCGGTTGCCCCGAGTCCAGTGTGCACCTTGATCAGCGTCACGGGTCCTTGCAGGCAGAGCGCTGCAGTGCCGGAATCCACGAGTGGCGATTTCGACAGCACGTCAGGCAAGCCAGCTTAGACAGTTGCTGTTAAGGAACTTAATACAAGTTACCATAATATGGGTATATAGTAAATACAGGGGTTTCCTTATTCTAGTCATTTAAGCTAGAGTTCCTGAACAGCAGCCCAGTAGATCATGAAACGATTCCAGAAGTAGTTTGGGCTCCCTCTGCAGGCTTTTGCATGAGGGGCTACTCGTCGGGTGTCAGTCGGGTTTAGAACGCAGCCAGCCCACCTATCCAAGCTATCCAACCACTTGCGCTTGCAGCTCGGTTCACCTGAGCTGTAGTCTAAGCGCCTTGAAGCAGCTTACCTAGGGGATTTTTTCTCGGGGAGTAGTATAAAGCTTATTAAGGGAGATACAAGGAGTTTAGCCTAGAGCTCACATCAAGGGCTGATTGGTTCGCTTGATGTTCGAGACTGTCCGATGCTGGGCAACGCCTCACCAGCAGCGGCAGATACCCAGAATTGCTGGCTCCCAGCACTTGAGCTGTACTCCTTATACAGCAGGGGTTATACAGGGCATTATATGGTGGGGATTATTATAGGGGCTATTAAGGGGGATATTTGGAGTTAAGGCACATTTCACAGCAGTGCTTTTGTATGAGAGATCGTCATTCCCAAATGAAAGCCGAGAGGCGGTCCAAAGACACTACCAAGCCCCAAATCCCTGATTATTGGTAGGTTCCCTACAAAGGGAAACCTAGCAGATAGACCCTCAAGTACTAGTATCCCGAAAATTATTGAGGCCCCAAAACGGTCTGCCCTATTTTTGAAAAACCCTCCAATTAGCACTGGAGACCTTGGCGGTTCACGATTCATGGAACTGCCAAAATCCTCCCAAGTCAACCACATATTTAAGATGGAGCGAATTTGAGCCATGATCTACACTCTTTAAAAGGGGCTTCAATACGGGAATATACAGGGAACCGCAAAAGGGGTTATTAAGAGGGATACCAAGAGTTGAGACTGTAGCCCATTTGCGTTAGAACTCTTGCAATGACACCTCCGCGCAAAGGTACTACATTTGGATGTCTTAGGAAGATGAAAGTCACTTCCCTCGACAAGAAGCTAGAGTCAATCACGCAGCGCTCAGCCCATCCCTGAACCATAAACCAGTCTAGCAGGGTTTATAGGGTGTAGGGTGTTTCCAACGATTAGGGGTCACAGTTTGGTCGTCCTCGTAATACTGAGAGTCATGGTTCATGGGGGTCTTCATGGCGCCCACTATGCCTGGAAGTCTGGAAGCCTCCAAAGACATCTACACCCAGAACACCAGGCCCTGCAAGTCGTGAAAAGAGTGAGACGAGGTGCAACCACGGACAATTCAGGATTGAGGGTTGATGAAGGTTCTGTTTTGGTATCCACCAATTTGCATCGGACTCATGTGTGGCACTTTCTATTGAGGCAGGCAAAGAAGCCCAGTTCTGCATGTGGGTCTTGCGTACAGTGTCTCGCCACTTACAGCAAGTCGGAAGGCAAAATCTAAGAGATTCAGAGTGTGTTGCAAGGACTGCCCGGGTCTTGATCTTCCGTGGTTGATGAAAGCTCAAAAAGTCCTCCCTGCAGAATGTAATCCCATACGCCTCTTATGTTTCCAAGCATACCGATAGAGTCCCCACTTTTCGAGAAACTCCTATGTACTCAGTGTACTCCAGGGTTCAGGTTTCAAGCTGGAACTTCAATTCTTTCTGACAGTTTTGTCTTGATGTCACGATGACAGACTCCAGCTGATCTTCATAAGCTTTTCTTCTGTGGCAGAAATCATTTCCTCAACCCTAAACATTTAGGTATGGGGTCTCTTGTACATGGATGGTGCTGCTGAATTGCAAAGCTTCCTCTTTAAGCATCTTTTCCTGCGCGGAAAGTAGGACTCGACTTCTGTGTTTTCATGCTGCATGAAACTGACAGTGTCAGTCAGCAAATACCGGCCACGACCAAGCAGCTGTTCAGCAATTTTCCCCCGCTCCCCGCGGTGCTGCTGCACATGAGCCTCCAAATTGTTACAGTGAAGCCGAGATTCATGATTTCGAGCTCTGAAACCTCAAGTAATATGAAAGTTCTCTTACTAAAAAAGACCCGGCATATGAACCTGTTCCGCCAAAAGTGAAAGCAGCACATGAGGCCGGGGACACTCCTGGAAGAAAGTGAGCCAATCTTCAGCAACCCGCCCCACCCAACGGAGCCAGAAGCCAGGACCAGAGTTCGAGACCGGTAGGTTTCAGATGGTTTAGGGTTTAGATGGGTTTAGGACTTAGGGTTTAGATGGGTTTAGATAGGGTTCAAGGCTCAGGGTTTAGATAGATGGTCGCATGGATAGAGGGACGGACGCGCGGGCCTGTATCACAGACCTAGTTGATGTAAATATCTGTTTCCTTTCCTACACACCCCGCACACATTCTTTCAAACATATAGACATATTTCCATGTACATGTAGACAGTTGTGGTATGACATGTAGGAGTTGGGGGGAGGTAGGCTTAATGAATGAAAGTTGTCGTGCAAGGGTTCCTACACAAGTTTATCGGGTTCTGGCGCAGACTTCGTGTGAGCCTTGTAGCAAGGGAGGTATCAAGTTCTTCATGGAAGGCTTGTGAGGGATTCCGGTAGGGACTGCAAGACATTTGCATTCTGCGATGACGGGCTGTTACACAGAAAGATGCATCTTCTCAATTCCGAAATGGTCACATGGTGCTTTGTCTAGTCTAAAGCATGTGCAAGACCCCAGCACATCCGCGGCTCATTAGCAGCTTTTAGCGCCTTGAGGAAGATCACCATGGAGATTGAGAAAGAGCTCGTGGCTTCGAGGAGTAAGCCCCACGCAGAGAAGAAGAAGTTTTTGAAATCCCTGTATCTCAGGCAGGAGGTGTCTGATGTCCCAAGGTTTGTTGCAGGTATCCCTGATGCTGCGTGAGGGCATTGAATGCACTGAGGTTGTTTCCTGACCCTGTTGTAACTGTGCACCTCCTGCATCTTTATGCCGTTGCACAGTTTCTCGTTGCACCTCCGGCTTCTGATCTCTTCTTGCATCAGCTCCGTTTGAAGCTGAAGCTCCCTTGATGCTGTCAGGGTTCATCCAGACAAGCGCTACCCAGCCTCGGCGATGCAATGGCTGACAGACTGGCAAGGGCTACACCAGGCCTGTCCAACTTACTTCTCGCCTTACTGGGGGTTAGCAGGGGAGAAGCGAATGCATTATATAGGGCTTATAGGGATTAAGTATGTTCTCTTGTTTTCTACTGACCCCACTAAATCGCCTCATGAAACCCAAGGACAAATCTGAAACCCAGTCGCGACTAAAAATTCCTCCAACATGCAAGAAAGGCGAAGTTGCATGTGTACCTTAACCGTAAACCCTAAAACCAGTGCATCCCTCAACCCGGAATCCTCACCCTGGCGAAGGGATGGTACTTAACCGACTTGCGGTTCGATGAGGTTCTCACCACATGAAACGACAAGGCCGCACGGAGGGAAGTTGTGCAGTTGCTCTGCACGCAGCAAGAACATGACAAAGTAGTAGCTCAGGAGTAGCCGTTGCCGCAGAGGAACGCCATTTGAATGGCTTCCGGTCATCTCATTTGATAGGGCCATTCCTTCACCCCAGCTCAATATATCCCACCTTTCGTCCCCATACAAAGGAGAGCATTTAACAGTACTATGGAGTGCGGTAGGTTTATGAAAGGGAGGTGAATGTCACTGGCGCGGGAATTCTGGCTGTGTCCGTGCCGTCACGCTACTTGCCAGGTCCGGTATCGGCTGTCCTCATTGGGAAGCGGCCATCGCAAAAGCTGTCAGAAGCTGAGCTGTCCTTCTGGGGGAATCCTTTTTGTACACTCATAGATCTCCTTGGGAGGGCTCCAACCTGGCTGCTACGAAACAGGACAATTCAACGGTGTTAGTTAGGCTAATTTGTGCCTGGCGTCAGCGCATAGCGATTGCCTGCAAGGGTAATCTTAGTCTCCGGGCTGGGAATCATGTTGACTGGGTACATCTTGCTACGCCGACCGCGCAGAAGATATCCTGATGGAACTTAGGTAAAGTGAATGAGATGGACACCATGACAGCGTATGTGTCTCCACTTGCAGCAAAGCGGATGCCGTTGTGCGACACGCGACGTGCTCCTGGCAAAAGTCTGCTGAGGGGATGGTCAAGCGTTTGCTGCGATGTCGTGCCACGGCATGCACATGCATGGCTCACGTCCCCTGCTTGACTCGCTTCGCTCAAGCGCCACCCTGTCGCAGTCCATGTGGCAAAAAGATTTAAGCCTTATCTTGCCAGCGCAATGGTGCCGAAGGCGTGGGATGAGGTCTTCGAGCGCTCCTCGATCCAGATCCAAGCCCTGACAGGGCAAGAGAATCAGGCAGGCATGGGCTCGTCCGAGCTTATGTTGAGTGCTTCCATTTTCTTTTTCATAATCCCTATAATTATGGCCCGACATTACCAGATGACCCCCCAATACACTATAATATACTGTGACTGAGACCGAAAGTGTTGCCGCTGAAGGTGTCGGCAGCCCTGACAGCCCTTGACCAGGGCAAGCTGACGAAGCAAGAGCTGGTGAAGGCGTTGCAGAAGGCCCACTCTGAGCACGGCACAGAGACAGATCCGTGTGAGCTGGGGGCTTTCAAAGCTCACACAAAAGCCTGGACGCCGGAGGATCTCCACAAAGTGCAGCAAGCTGCAGAAGAGCTGCAGACCTACAACACATTGAAGGCGGATGCGCTGCATGGGGTTGTCGACGAGCTATTGGCGGCTGCCAAGACGCAGGACCCGGGCACGGAGTCTGAGGCGCTACGAGAGACCCTGCAGCAACTCGACAAAGTCAAGAAGGCCACAAACAAACTGGCAGAGATGGATCCAGATTCAGGAAAGCCTCGTAGCGAAGTGCTCCACTCCGTGCACACTCCTGAGGCCGTGCAGGGGATGTCATCCGAGCAGAAGTCAGCTGCGTTCCGTGAAATAGGCCGCAGCCGGATTGCTGCAAGACGCGCGGAGGTCATCGCTGTCTCAGAAGCCATTCTGGTTCGAAGCAAGCAGCCCACGAAGGCCGAAGAGATCCATGCGGTCCTGGCCACTGCTGATGCTTTGGGCCGGGATGGGAAGGAAAAGACCGCCAAGAAGGCTGAGACTGACAGGGTGTCTGACGATCTGAAGCAGTGCCTGGAGCAGCGGAAGCTGCAGCATGAGGTGTGTCAGAAGATGCGCCAGAAGTCTGCAGAGGAGAAGGCTAAAGCCCACACGGACCTGCGAAAAGCACTCGAGGAACTGCTACGGGCGGCGTCAGCACACGTGAACGCAGTTACCAAGCTCCATGCCCAAGATGCCGCGCTGGACTTGCTGCTGGCTGACATTGAGCATGTGGAGGGGAGCCTGACCACCTGCACCTGAGTTGCTGTTAACGAGCCTAGATTAAGTCACCACAACGGGTATATATATATATATATTTATGTATATATATATATATATGTGTGTGTGTTCATATTTATATCTATATATATATATATATTTATTCATAGTCATTAATAGGGGTTCCCCAATATAGTAACAACAGCAACTCAGGCACGGAGGCTGCGGTCACTGCCAGCAACGCATCTCAGGCCTGCGCGGACCATGCGGCGGGAGCAGAGGCAAAGCTCCGCAAGCACGTGGCCGTACCTTGGTCTGCAACGTTTTGTTGCTATTATTGCTGTTGTTACTGCTACTGCTACTCTTACTCTTACTATTATCCCCATTACTATTACTGCTAGTATTATTATTACGATTGCTACTGCTACTACTACTACTACTACTACTACTACTCCTATGGATTTTTTGTTGCCATCATCATTGTTTCTGCCGTCCCGCCCTGCCTGCCTACCGATTACCCGTTTTAAGCTTTGGCCCCTGCAGGAGGCGGTGGCAGAGGTGTTGCAGCATGCACAGGAGCCTTGCACCGTGGCCTTCGGCAACATTCTGACCGCGCAGTCTTTGCTACGGCGTGCCGACGGCGAAGTGGCCGCAGAGCTACAAGGCCTAAAGAACACACAGCAGCGCCTGCAGGCGGAGCTGGACCAGGCCCGACAGCTGTGGAAGCAGGGGCAGACAACTGACCGCGTGTCAGAGAAGTCTGCTGGCCTACGGGATGACTTGGAAACTGGGAATAGAATTCGGGTTTAGGGTTTATAGTATTTTGGGGTTTATATAGGAATAATGGAAAAGAAAATGGAAACTACTGTAGTATATAAGGGTTATATAGGGATGATGGAAAAGGAAATGGAAACTGCTGTAGTATATTGGGGTTATATTGGGGTAATGGAAAAGAAAACGGAAACTACATAATGGGGCCTTGATAGGGGATCCTATAGACGCTCATTTTTCCAAGGGTTTTAGGGGGCAACTCAGGAAACCGTGCAGAAGGATATCGGGGCTGCCTCCGCCGTGCAGCAGAAGCTGCTGGGTTGCTGTTAAGGAACTTAATTTAAGTTACTATTTATTGCGGAAACCCTATTAATTACTATATATATATATATAGTAAGCCTTATTAATAACTCTATATATATATATACACCCAGAATGTGGTAACTTAATTTAGGTTCCTTAACAGCAACTCAGGCTAGCAGAGCTTCTGGACAAGGCGGCGGCCCAGAAAGCCACATTCCTGGAGATGGTTCCTTTGGTCTCCTTCGGAATGATTTTTTTTTACTGTCAGGGTTATATAGGGGATGTATTTGGGATATATTGCGAGAATGGAAAAGAACATGGAAACTACCATTAAGAAGAAAAGTTTGTTATAGGTCTAAGGGGACTACAGGTTCAAGCCGGCTTCAAGGTGGACGAGGCCGCCTGCAAGGAGGCAGCTGAGGCGCAGGCCAATCAAGCTTACGGAGAGCTCCAGATCATGTCCACGGCCCCCAGTACCGTCTTGCCCGGCGCCTCCCAAGGGGCCATTCAGCTGCATTATGCGAGGGCTTCAGTCACTTTACGTTGGTTGACTCGTAGGGACCTGCAAACTATTACGTGCTACTGTGCTTATGTGAGGAAGTGCCGCAATGCACTGCCATCCAGCGCCTGGGCACGACATTTTCAGAGACTGCCGATCTGAGCAAAGCAGCAAGCTTCATGAACCATGCAAGGACCAGAACTCTGAGTCCTTCAGGCTTTAAACCAGAGTCTAAGCTCTTGCAAGTGGGTTCTGTAGGGGATTATGTTCAGACTAGAGCTCATATTCAAGAATATCTCCCGAAGCCATCCAACTCGATGAGGCAGCAACTTCCGGACTTGAAGGAGCTTCTCCAGCATGAGCTGAACAAGGCCAACTCGGGGCTTCGGAGTATCCAAGGGTATATAGGGGATATAGAGTATATTGGGGCTATATTGGGATACTGGAAACATGGAAACTACTAAGGGTTATATGGGGGTTATATATGGGATTATATAGGGGTTCTACAGTAGGGGTGAGAGGTTGACTGCGTGTTTTGATTTTCGCTGTTGCGGGCTTCAAGTTCCTAGTGTCAACAGCTTAGGACCCATTCTAGGTATTTTGTGAGTGAAATAGTTTCTTGAGATGCGTCACCGGAGTTCACGACTTGTACTGCACACTTGAACCCATCAAGCTTGCATGCAGAACCTTCAAGGTCCACGTACCTCTAAATGGTAAGATCTAGTAATTGAGACATTATACCCCTTGATTGGGGTAAATGGATCTTGGCAGTAGCAGACACTTGAGTTTTTGCCCCGAAAGACTCCGTACCTGGAGTTTGCGGTCGCATCCGTGAGTCTGTTCGAACCCTATTCTTGCCAGGTCTGGAATCAAACCCTAAACCTTAAACCCTAAACCCTAAACCTTAAACGGATTGACCACAAAACTAGGGTACCTGCATGGCAGGGTCTATGGAAACATGCTCCCTTGACAGGCATTAAGGCTGAAAAAGCAGCAGAACTTTGTGAGCACCGGCTATTACTATAGTTTCTACCCAGACCCCTGGATCAGGAAAGTAGATCTTGGTTTAGGGGGTCCTAGAAATGACCCGATAGTATCGGGTACCAAAATGGGGGTTCTACTTTCTAGATCCGCCCAGGGGCTGGGTAGGCAGGGCAAGCGTCACTTGGAGGCGATCAGCTCCATTCGCGAGCAAATGCAGGTTGACTTCCGTTTGTGGCAACAGACACTTGGATGCAGGGCAGGATCTTCACGGGTTTTACTCCCATCCCCTTACAAATTCTTGTGCGTTTAAGACGTAATATACGAAACAGGGAATTCATGAACATAATGCTTACATGAAGTGTCTAGGGGAATTAAAATTTGTGAATGCTGACTAGTCGTATGTATATCTTGCGCGTATGGTTTGGTGTGCAGCCTCCCTTTGGCGGCCCTTGGTTCCTGGGCAAGGGTAGCTGTAGCTATGCTGCTAGCTCTATGCATGATGCGATTTGTCACTGCTACCACTCAACAGTAAGAACTCTAGATCCCATCCTAAATCCCACAGCAAATTGCAATCCCTTTTACCCTAATTAAACCCTAAATCTTTGCAACCCTAAACCCTAAATCTTTACAACCCTAAACCGAATTGCAATCCCTTAAACCCTAAACCCTAAATCTTTGACCGTGGCATGCCTTGCGCACGAAGGGACTACGTGCGGAAGCATGGCATGCCGCCCGGGGATGGTGGTCTGAGCCTTAGCCTGGATTTGGGGATTTCCCCTTAAATTAGGAGTACCATTTTGGGGTCCCCCTAATAAGGTTTATAGTATTTTGGGGTCTATATTGGGGTCCCCCCTTTTTAGGGAAACTACCAGTTCGGTAAGCTGGGAATGAAGGAATGGAAAAGAAATGGAAACTACTATGCTGGGTTATATAGGGACTAACGTAAGGATCCATTTCTTCATTCCTGGCTAACCAAAGGCCAGTAGCTGCTTGTAAAGGTATCCCCTGGCCTTCTTTCGTTGGGTTTTTAGGGTTTAGGGTTTAGGGGTTTAGGGTTTAAGGGTTCAGCTCGGGGTTTAGGGTTTCAGCGTTTAGGGTCTGAAGCAATTTGAGTATTTGGTGGCATCGCAGCTTGATTCTACATGTTGCAGCACCATGGTCAGATTGAATTTTGAGATTCCAAAATTGGGACCGTTTTGCAGGGGCTCCAAGAAGGATTGTCGCATAGCGTTATCCAAAGGTTCCCGGCCTCAATATACTATATAGAAGTGTTCCTTTCCATTATCCCAACATAACCCCAATATGTTACATAGTGGTTTCCATTTTCGTTTCCAATATCCCAACATAACCCCAATATCTTACCATAGTAGTTTCCATTTTTCTTTTCCGTTATTCCACCCGAATATGTTACATAGTAGTTTCCATGTTAAACCCTAAACCCTACCAATACTTTTATATAACCCTAAAGAAGAAGATGAAAAGCCTAGGTTCGGATGCAGGCAGCTGGCTTCAGGTTCATGAGACTGCAGACCATGGAGGCCAGGTGGCCTGGAGTCTGCCAGCGCAGAGCCTTTAGGGTTTAGGGTCTTAGGGTTTTAGGGTTTTAGGGTTTAGGGTTTTAGGGTTTTAGGGTTTTAGGGTTTAGGGTTTAGGGTCTTAGGGTTTAGGGGCTTTAGCGTTTAGGGGTTTTAGTGTTGAGGGTTTAGGGTTTAGGGGAATGTGGGGATGCTTGGGGCCCTGCATGAGCCATAGTCAAAACTTTTTAAGGGGGGTTATATAGAGGACTTTATAGGCGACTACCATAGGAGTTATTAAGGGGGATACCCGGAGTTTAGTTTAGACTATAGCTCACAGGCGCGGAATACTAAACTCTAAGCCGTGCCGTGTTGCCCATACCTGGACCACAAAAGTAGGTAAAATGATGGCCTTTATGGCCGTCATTCTGGGCTTAGGGCTATTGTTTTACATCCATTTGGGGTTTACGTAGTCTGAGCTTGCTGGAAGTGTCCAGGAGTTGATGAAGACTGAGCAGGCAGCGCAAGAAGTATGATCGGCAGGTGGTGTCAACAGCTGCCCAAACTAGAAGTGGTAGTTTCCCAACACAGGGGGGAACCCAGTATAGACCCCAGTATACTATAGTCCTTATTATGGGGATCCCCAAAAGTGTGTAGCTACATGTATTCAATTCATCAAAGAGCTGGAGATGCCTTTCCTGCTGAAGGCATGAGGGTTGCAAGTTGAAGGCAAGGTCCAGACACGGCTAGCTGGCCCTTGATGTTCTTGTTCCATGCCAGCTACATGGTAGTTTCCCAAAATAAGGGAACCCCAATCCAAACCCCAAAAATACTATAGTCCTTCTTATGGGGGACCCCAAATCGTACCCCGTATTTTGGGACCCAAATTCATGCGCTCAGAAGCAGCTTGCATGATATCCTGGCCAGGCTCATACAGGAGCCAGGTTGATATCAAGGGAAGATGTTCATTTCGTCTTGTGCTTTACGGGACTCCGACGCCTCAGTGTGTTCCACGAGCAGCAACCATAGCTTCTTTAGGGTTTACGGTTTAGGGTCTTGTATTCTCCATGATCCATGAAAAATGATGTAATGACAAGAGGTACGATATTCGATCAGTACATTCCCTCCTGAATGGTTGGCTGCGTTATTGAGGCCGTTCTGACCTGAGACACGACCTAGGAAGTCGAGGCCCTCAAACTTCGCGGTACCTGGGTGCCGAGAAGCAAGAGCGGACAACTTTCAGCTAAGACTTCATGGCTAAACATCTTGCCAGACTGTCTTGGAGCGCATCTGTGTCTGCAGACAGCCCCTCTTCAAGAAGTGAAATCTTGAAAGATATCGCGCGCTGTAGAAGCTAGAGTAGTTAACATGCAGCCTAGCCTCGGCTCCAAGCACTGAAGTGTTGGGGTTAGGATTTAGGGTTTAGGGTTCAGGGGTTTTGGATTCAGAATTTAGGATTTAGGGTTAGGGCACGCCCTTCGATTTTCAACCCTTCTGTCTGTAGGTTGGGAGCGCGGAAGCCTTCACAGCCGGCAGTCACATCAGAGGTCATGTGGTGGTTTCCAGGAATCCGGAGTCCTAAAATCAACTCGAAGGGTAGGGTCTTTTTATGAAGCGGAGTCCCGATTTCTAAGAAGAGGCCCTTAACATTTCAAAGCCCCCATGTCTATGCATGTCGATCCTTGCAATTCTGCCTCCCCTGACCGACGACGCCATTCTTTGGTCTGGGAGGAGGTGCGCGGAAACAGGTCTGGCATGAAGTTTAGGGATTAAGTGGGCTATAGCCTAAACCCTTAAAGGGGGTTATATAGGGGACTATCATAGGTGTTCTTAAGGGGATACTATAGCTCAAGTGGGTTTAGGGTTTGTATTTACGTTAGGATGGCTTCCCGTTGTGTTAAGTCTATCGACATAGCACAGCTACATCCGGACGACCATTCGTAGAGATGCCTGATTCAAGCAACCTTGCACATTAAATTCTAAACCCTGCGCGTTAACCCCTTGACCCCATGAGTTGTAGTTCAATCAGATTTCAACCACACTCGGCTGGCAACATGAAGGGCCGAAGTTGTGTTCCAAGGCCTGCTTACTGATTTATTCCAGCAATTGAACACTATGAGGTTTTGGGTTTAGGGTGATGGGGTTTAGGGTAGTGTATGAGTTTGACGTTTATAAGGCTACGGGTTTAGGGTATGAGGTTTAGAGTTTATAGGACGTAGGATTTAGGGTACGGGTTTGTTCTGTTTCCTTCTGCCTCAAAATCAAGGGTTGCCTACCCTCAGTTTTGGAAACCCCTTCCCTAAACCATAAACCTGAGATCGAACAGGTCACCCTTAGGGTGAAGTTTTTACGATCTTCACTCCAATCGAGAGCATGATTTTCATGGTGGCTTGGGATTTGCGGATTTTGGGATTCAGTGCGCAGGGTTATGGCTTAGCCGTGTTTCGGCATAGGACACCAGCTGAGACAAGCAGCAGTAAATGCATAGTGTCTGGCCTCACGCGCTGACACAACGCTGGATAGCAGTCGCAACTGGGATGAGTATTCAGATCCTAGCAATGACAAATTAGATAATTTCAAGCAATACCTGGACCCCAAGAGGAGGTAAAATGATCGCCCAAAACTCCTAAAACAGCCCAAGAGGCTATTACCCCTAGTATCTACCTTAATAACCCCTATAATACTCCCCTTTATAATCCCCTAAGCCCTCACCCCTATAATACTCCCCTATATTATCCCCTATATAGACCCCATTTCAGGAGTTTGGGTTCAGGTATGCCAGCCTTGTGTAGGATGGAACGTTCGGATTTGGCTGGCGGGTGCGATCTGCCAGCCATTGCCTGAAATGTCTTTGAGACCATGTGAGCTACAGTCTAAACTCCTGAAATGGGGTCTATATAGGGGATTATATAGGGGAGTATTATAGGGGTTGAGCCTACCTGTACCCCGAAGTACCTACAGTTCAGCCATAAGACTGCAAGTCATTGGGGCTACAGGGAGACCCTGAAGCCTAAGCCCCACACCCTAAACCCTCCGAGCCTAAACCCTCCGAGCATAAACCCTCAAACCCCAAACCTTGAGCCCCAAAGCGAAACCCTAAACGCCAAACCCTAAACCATCCAACCCTAAACCCCAAACCCTCAAACCTTCAGCCTCGTGAACTTCTGTCCCTGTCAGGAAGAGCCTGACCCAATGCAAGCGAGGCTGATCGCTTGCTTGCATGCGTCGATCGCATTGGATTTTGAATAGCCAGATAACAAAACAATACAGGGGTGCATGGGGCCATACCACCTATGTACACGGAGTACAAAAGGATAGCTACCTGGTGCATGCAGCTGGCCAGTGCAATACCGAGCCGGGTTACTGGCAAGGAATTTAGATCAAGTTGCCATGGCAAGAGAATCATATTCTCATATGATATATGATACTGTAGAAGCTTAGTTTAAGTTCCTTGACGGCAACCCAGAATTGCATACCGCAGCATTTGAGATCCACTTCTCTTAAACTCCCTCTGCTAGCATCCGACCCCTTGCTAAGATGCTTGGCCGCCTCGCGCTCGCGCTGGTGCCACCGATAGATTCGAACATCTTTGTGTACCTGACGTACTCTAATCCTTGCATAATCTTCTTTCACAATGTAGACTTTATCTTGGAACTGCCTTGAAGCCAGAAGCCCCCTACCCTAAACCCTAGTCCTGTTGAGGTGCTGGTGGGTTTGCCACCAGCCATGGCAGACCCCTTGGGCGGCATGGGATCGAATGGCAACTCTACGGCTCCCGCTTTGCCATTTGACGGCAACATCCCCCATAGACCAACAAAAATACTACAAGGTTAGGGCTTAGGATTTAGGGTTTAGGGTTTAGGGTTTAGGGGTTCAGGGAGCTCCTATTAGATGCAGGCCCAACAAGAAATGCAAACTACTATATCTTATTGCGGTTATCTAGGGATAATGGAACAGAAAGTAGAAACTACTATATTGTATCGGTGTGATATAGGGATAATGGAACAGAAAATGGAAACGACCTTATTATGTTGGGGTGATGTAGTAGATGTTAGATAATTATCCTCATTATGGCCTAAGTTTAAAAGACAATGGAACATGAATATGGAAGCTGAGATTGTAGTGGGGCTCCTAGGGCATTCCAAGGATTATGTAACATAGGTGCTTGAAAGATAACCAATATTTCGGTTCCAGGTTCCTTGTATCTTGCAGGTACAGGGTACCTCAAGAAGATCTTAAACTGATGTTGCCTGTTAGGCTCCTACCTTACATAACACCTATAATCCACTGTAGTCAGGTTTCTGTTTCATGTTTCATGTTCTTTTCCTTTTGATTCTCATGCTGATGATAATATCCCTATAAACCCTATAGTTCTTAAAAGTAAATCCCAAAGCCCTAGACCCCACTACCTAATTCCTATATAGTAGCTTAATCCCTGAACCGTGTTTAGGCCCTGTGCATTAGACACAATTGAGTCACACAGTTGAATTGAAGACTTGAGGGGTGCCAGAAAATTTCGGAGGCTTTCCTGATTTCTTTGCATGCATAAGCATACAGGGGCCTGAATGGGCTTGGAGACTGGGTGGGCTTGGATGTTTGAAATCAGCATTCTTCCAGAGCTCGAAAGGATAATGTCGAGACGCTGTCTTCCTTTCACCCAGACACAGCCGAGGCGAGGCGCCGCCGGACCACAAGTGACAAGTATGATGAAGGTGGTGCCGCTTGCGGCTCCCCAGGCGCGCGTTTAGGGTTTAAGGCTTAGGGGTTGGGGCTTAGGGCTTAGGGTTTAGAGCTTAGGGTTTAGGATTTGAGGACAAAATTTGCTAGATAATCCTTATCATAAAGCCCCTCTGTATTCTTATATAACGACCCTTAAGTTCATAGAACTTTTATATAGCCTTAGCTACCTTTTCCAACTCGGACAGAAGCCCGGCTGCACAGGGTTTAGGATTCGAGGGCTCTGCCTAATTTAGTCGAATTTTCCCAAACCCTAAACCCTGAGCCCCTAAACCCTAAGTCTTATTTCCTAAGTCCCTAAACCCTAAACACACCTTTGACCCTCAACGCCCTCTTGAGGCTAGGCTGCTGCAAGAGGCGGGCACCCCAGGGCAACCTGAGCTGAGACAACAAAGTTCCACTTCGCTCAAGACGGGGACCAGTGACAGTCAGTGGGGTACATCGAACTTGGGCCTGCAAAAATCCCCTGAAATTGCAAGGGCGCCATCTGTTTATCAACTGTTAAGGGTTTGAGGCCATCACTTTACCTATCTCTGAGGAACTATGAAAAGGTTCGAGACAATTATTCAGCTATTTCAGTGGAACTTTCAGGGGGTTTGAGGACCTAAATCCCTAAACCTACTTTCGAGGTCCTTGGTAGGACTCCTGGCAAGCCCCCGATAGGCCTGGGCCCTTCGAAGCCCTTCTGGGACCTGTTGCCTGGAGGTCCCAGGAAGCCCCTGGAAGGCTTGCTGGGGGGCGTGGGCCTTGTTTTTGTTGAGTTGGCATTTTTTGGTCAACCACCTCCTGCTGTAAAGCACCGAGCTCTCCTGGTCCCTGATCTGCACCCAGACGCCTCAGGGTTCTCGATGCAAAGTCAGGGACGTGGCCTCGGTTTGCCTTGAGGGGGAACCAGCAACAGACAAGTGAGAAGGGTGGCGGGCGAGTTACCCCACCAGTGGGTAGTCAAAGCGAAAAGAACATGGAAAATTATGGGGAAACTGGGTTTATGAGGGTTTCCCAAATGTAGGGGTATCTTTCCTTGCGATCCCCTACAATACGGCTGAGAATATATTGGGATCTATATTGGGGGTCCCCTTATTTCAGGAGATTACCATATGCAGTTTCATGCTTATGGCTTCTCCTTTTCAAGCCAACCTGTGCTGTGGTTGCATGCGGGGCCTGCTCAGGAACGGTCGCAAGTCAGCCAAGCAGGGTGCATTCATCGCACTTGGTATGGGTGCTATGTCTCTATTGAAAGCCACAACTTTCGAGGATGAGCAGTACTCTTTCAATTGGGACTTTTCGTTTGACAAGGACCGCTTGATGCAAGTATTGTCACAAGCCCACTGATTCGGCCCGCGTGTCTCATCAGACTACTTGAAACTCTTGGCACATATAAGCTTAGATTAGATTCCATCTGAGTCTTCATTTTGTTTTTCCAATCTGATTCTCCAATATTTGGGTTGTTGGTATGGTATCTTGCCGCCCTATCAGGAGAACAGACCAATGTGGCGAGAGGTGGGCAAATTTGGAATGGAGATGCTTAAGGCCGGGCAACAAGACACCGCTGATTTGTGAGAACTTGTTTTGGTCTTGCCCCTTCGGGCTTGTAAGCCCAGGAGTTTTTCGCAGCCTCTCACCAGTGGGGGAAATTTGCCGCTTATCTGGGCCCGGGCGCCGTTTTTGCCTCGACTCTGTTGGACACATTCCTTCCAGACGACGAGTTCACAGAAGCAGATGCTGCCCGGATGATGGACGAGAAACTCGCCGCTTTCGAGCGAGAATTCCGAAGGGACATCATGGAAGATGTTTCCAATCTCGTTACCTCAGACACTGACATGTCCAGCACATTCCTTTGAACCTCTTTGGGCGATACGAACCCAATAGTCACAAACAAAAAGGCTTTGGCCGAACCCTGGATACTGGACCTAAGGAAATCAATCGGAACAGCCTGAGGGAGGCGCAGCTGGTGGTACGCAAGATTCTTGATGGAGTCTCTGTCTCCTCGGCAGGGAGTTTGCTTAACCCGGATGCGTTTCTGGCGTTCGCATGGCCTTTGGAGAGCGAGGTTAGCCGCGTGGTAGACTTGCGGCTCGGACGGCATCAGAGTTTTCCATTTGCATTTCATTTGGTTCTCTTTTCAGGCTTTATTAGCTGAGCCTAAACACTAAACTCGAACCCTATAGACTTACTGGTGGTTAGTAGTGAATAAGGGAATGCAAATCCCATATTATGACCCATATTATGACAGTATAGTCCCTATTGAACATCTTAATATGTTAGTTATTCCCTACTGACCCCCAGTAAGCGAACCATAGTGTAAAGCACTTTCTCGGAGTCAACACCCAGGCTGTTCCTGCCCTGCAGGGACTCCGGCTGGGGTAGCCCCGAGTGCGATACGCGCAATCTAGCAGGCGCTGGCCTGCTTCTGGGACGCGGTTCAGGGTTTAGGGTGTAGGGACGGGACTTAAGCTATTAGGAAAACATAGGAAACTATATCACTTGTTGTGTACATATATATACATAGACCCATTGTGATAACTTAGCTTGACTTCCCTTAGCAACCCAGGCCTTTTGCGGAGCTTGTCAATGTGCACATCGGCTTGTTCGACGGCATCGCCAAGGCTATGCAGCAGAAGGCTCAAGAGGTGCGCGCATCTCTGTTCGGCGTACCCGGACAATGGTACAATGCTCCAAAGCCTTCGGACATTGGCAACGAGGTCCTCCGCGCTACCTTCCGAAACATGGGCTGCCCGAACCCAGACCCGCCTCAGAGCTACTTCAACTATATCAGGACTGCGAGTTCGGACACGACCTCGGCCCTTGACCGTATGTCCCTGGGATTCCCAGACAGGGAGCCTACTGCTTTGGCATGCTTCTGTTGTCTTGCTGGTCGAAGGCTGTTACATTAGGGGTTATATAGGGGTTCTATGGGGTTTATGTAGGGATTGTATAGGGTTATAATGGGATAATATGTATATTGGGGTTATAATATGGTTGTTGCAAAGCAGCCATCAAGCATTTCCCAGTAAGGCGCACCGAAACGTGTGAACCCTCTCTGGCGAGCGCAGCAGTTCCCCAAAATCCAATGGGTGATGCTTTTACTTGTGATACGAAGGCGGGGGGTCCAATAAACTCAGCGTTCCGTTCTTTAGCACATAGGAATGCCTTGCATAGAAAGGGACTCTAAATGCTTTTAACTCCTTCAGGGTTAGTTATAGCTGTATGACGCGGGTGACCGCGGGTGTGTTTATCGGTCATATAGGGGATATGTAAAGGACGGACACTGGATTCGTGACAAAAGGTTAAGAAGTAAGAGCCGTGTGTCATGTCATTCAGCAAAGGGGTGTTCCGTCCTGAACGTACCCTAGACCCTAAACCCGAAACCCTAGACCCTAAACCCGAAACCCCTAAACCTAGGTCGGCGGCGGCTGGAGGTTGGTACGCCGTACCACGGGGAACACCTTCTCGGATGCCGACCGTCTGGAGGGCACATCAGTGCATCTGGGTTGCTGTTTAGGGTTTAGGGTTTTCCGTTACCACAATAGTTTCCTTCATATAGTAACTCAAATTAAGTTCCAGAACAGCAAGCGAGGCATGGAACTCCTTCCGGTGCAACAGGTGGGGGATTTCCCCGAAAGCACCTGACTATCCGGCGTTGGGTTTATGGGGCTTATAGGGTTTCTAACTCTAGGGCTTTTAGGGCTTGTAATAATCCCTAAACCCTTATAGGTTTAGAGTCTGAAGTTAAGTAGTTTGTGAGGATCCTGGACCGTTTGGGCATAGACATGCAGGAACCTCAAGTCGAGAAATACCCAGGTCAGTGCAGCGCAGGCAAACAGAGCCCAAAGTCATTGCATTGAAACTTGTCAGGCGCCACAAGTTTCTCCACGAACTTTGGATCCTTCAGCGAGTTCCTCTTTGCCACAGGGAATTGCAAGTATTGGATGATCATGGACAAGTACGAGGTCTTGGACGACTACAATTGGAAGCCGCGACGCATCGAGAGGTCCCACCTGTCTGACGTCCCCTACAGCGCAGTCATGATTCGTCGTGCAGGTAGCCCGGAGGACCCCTGGCTGACCTTCGAGGATCACCGTACGGGCCCCAATGCGCACTGCACCTCCCTGTATCAAGGGTGCCTTTGCTAAAAGAGTAGGGTTTGGGGTCTAGGGCTCAGGGTTCAATGTTCATGATTTTCAGATAGCATTTCCGATTGACCTTAACCCTGCGCGGTGAGAGCGCCAATCTGCGTTGTGGGCAAGCCATATATACCCTACTGTACTGCAGCAGTTTCCATTTTCTTTTCCATATATGACCCCTACAAGATACCCCTATATAACCCTATGTGTCCCTTTAAAGGGGCCTAGGATTGTGAGTTCCATTTCCCTTTCCATTATCCCTATATGACCCCAATATACTAACCAGAAACTCTGAACCCTAGGAACAACTTCGACCCGTGGTGTACCTACGGCGACCTTGGCGAGCTGAACGGCGGACTCAACGTCTTCGTTCGTTATGCCCCGGCACCCTGGCGTTTACTTACCTATGGTAAGCTGGGCATGAAGGAATGGCAAAGAAAATGGAAACTACTCTATTACTATAATGAGTTATATAGGGACTACTTTAAGGATCCATTCCTTCATTCCTAGCTAACCAAAGGTAAATTGCTTTAGGGTATCGGGTGCGCTGCTGTCATGAGAGCATGGGCAACGGCATAGCTAAAAATAAGTGCCAATGGAGGACTTCTTGGAGGCAAGGCTAGTACTTTTCAGGCCTGCATAGTAGGTAGTAGGATAGCGTTCTTTCTCTGTGGCCATGTTGCGGAACTGCCTGAGGGGACAGACACCTGCTGTGGCGCAGAGGGATACGGCTGCGTCACTGAGTGCAAAGCTCAGACTGACCTCAGCTTTGGCTTCGTGAAACGCCTGAGGCAACTTGATCGCATTGAAGCAGAGACATGGCAAGCAGTCATCATATGTCGAAGCACTTTGCACCATTTTGCGCCCTAGGGAGAGGTTCAGCCGCGTGAAGGCCAAGTACCAGGCCCTCTACCCAAAGGTCCGCAACAACTTTCTGGCTCAGCGTTTGCGCGTGATCAGCTGCAAAGGAGAATATGAACGCGGTTCTGGATGCACGGATCCAATGGATCCGACCACAAGGAATTCTAACCGGTTCACCGAAGAGACCCCATGGAAGGACGAGGTCGCGACAAGAATCCTCCAAAGGTTCGAGGTCCTGGATGCTCTCCTTTCAAGTCGCTTCGTGTTCAGTGCGGACGTTGCTACAGCAACATTTCCAGGAGGGGGCTGGTTCATCCAGAAGGACCTTCCGCTCTCACGGGGCTACGGTCGCCTCATTGGCTTCGTACCACCTTTCAAATACCACCCAAAGCTGCTCATCAATGGCGTTCAGCAAACTCACCATGATACGTATATGGTGCTCGAGGACGCTGGGCGTTGGTTCTTCCATGACTTCACCTTCGACAAAAAGAGCTTGTCGATTGACAACCTGGCATTCGATCCGTGCCCAATTGGGAGTTGCGTGCAACACGGCAAGTTCGAGCTGTTGCAGGTGCAAGTGCAGGAGGAGCCCTTCGATGAGTACCTCGGATGGAGCGGGGCCGATGGGTGGCACAATTGCCGCATTCCAGGTGCTGCCGCAAACGTCGCAGGTGCTGTTGAATACCTCGAGTGTACCGGGACAGAAAGTGCGACGGTCAAGCTCCACGAAGCAGCGTTTGAGTGGGAGGCAGGAGCATTGTCCAAGTTTAGGCAGTTCAAGTTCACCAGACATGGTGACAGGATGTACAAGGTGTCCCAATCAACAAGTCTGACCTAGCGCAAAGCTGTTTCAGGTGAAGTTCTTCATGCGCTTGGACAACCCTCTTCTTTGGTGGGACCTTGACATTGAGTGCACGCCTTTCCCGTCCTCCCACGGTGATGCCCGAGAGAGGTTCCTTGGGGAAATTTGAGGCTGGAGTCTCTTGCATGTTTGGCAAGATCAAACTTCCCTATATGTAATCGCTCAGACGAGCCCCAGAATCCGCTCATAATCCCTATGTATCCCTTGAGATCCCCAAGGATGTTGAACAGTGTTAGCCCTCCTGGCAGGGCCACTGTAAAGGTTGCACAAGTTAGGCCGCTGACGGTACAGATGCTGGGGGCCGGCTGTCCACACGGTAGAACCCGAAGCCGCAGCGTGTAGATGCCCTGAACAATTCTCTGGCTTAGGCCAGGCGTCATAAGAACAATGTCATCTTGATTTACTGCTAGTACGCTTACTTCTGCCGTTAGCGCTACTAACACTTGAACGTTACATTAGTAAGTACCGTTCCTGCTGCGGCTGCCAGTTATTCCGCTGCTCCTCTTGCTGGGACCGATGCGAGCAGGTGGAGGGAGCAGGATTCAAGAGTGGGTTGGGCCAACACGGTTTTCAATTGCTGGCGCGATAGCGCTCGTAGAAGAGGCAGAAGTGTGCACAACATTCAAATCCACTTGTCCAGACTTGTGTGCGTGAGCTGTTTACTCAGCGTTCTGCTGATGTTCCTTGCATTGTGCGCGCGCTCGCGAAGTTACCGTGTTTTTCCATTTCGGTGCCCATCACGCGCCCTCACACATTCTGCATGGAGGGTATGGAGTCGTGATATGTCGTGATGTAGAGGAATCAGTTGACTTCCTTGCCGAGGTGTGAGGTTGGAAACGGCTTGGATGATGGCTTTTTCTACGTGTGCCCCGGCTAACCACCATGGGCTATTAGACCCTAAAATTCCCTATTAGAACCCTATTAAGGGTAGATTAAGGTACCCTAAAGGTCTAATAGCCCATAGTGGAATGGCATAGGGATCATAGGGTCGAGGTCTGTGAGCCCACTGTGGAAGCCCTGAGGTACAACGAGGGGCGGGGCATTGGTGACGCATCCGAAGTGCCATGTCGTACCCACGGGTGCGATTGCTGCAGATTCTGGAAGGATGGGCTTTCAATCCGTGGGCCTTGAATATCTCTAGGGATTAGGGTTCTAGGGTTTAGGAGCATTATAGTTATTTCTGGTTATGGGTCCGGGCCGAAGGTCCCGTTTGGAGCCGCTCAGACCCCAGCAGAATCACGTGGACAAGAAAGGGAAAATGAAGCGGAAACTGGAGTCATATACACCCTCCGCATGGGAGCTAAGTACCCACAAATTATTCGTATGGGCACTTACAGAGTACTAGGAGGGTCTTGGTATAGAGCGCTTCCTTTGTCCTGAGGACCAGGTGAGCGCAGCCATTGACATCGAGCTCGCCCCACCTTTCGACTTCTCCCGTGGAAGCAATCCTGTGCATTCAGACCCGCGCGTGGCAGAGAAGCCGGCAGTCATGCGGCTGGCGCTTAATCACGGGCATCCCAATGGGGGGGAGTCACACTTGCTGCAAGAGTTTGGTGGGGCAGCCCACTTTCCGGGCAAACGGGACCGGTTGGTGCGAAAGCGCTTGGGATACTAGGAACCCCAGTGGTACCCTTTTACCCTTTTTGGGTTCTGGATTCCCATATATAATATACCAACCCTAAACCCTAAACCCTTATTGTAATATGGTTACTGGGCTACCAAGGATATTCTCCAGTGGAGCATGGTAAGTGGCAATCCTACACCATCAAGCGCTCCGAGGGCCAGATCATGGTCTGGATCGACGATACTGGGTTGCTGTTAAGGAACTTAAATTAAGTTACCATAATGAGTATATAATGGAGAATTAAATGGAAAATAACATGGAAAATGAAATGGAAACTGGGGGAATATAGGCATTTAATGAACTTAAATTAAGTTACCGTAATGGGTATATATAGTAAATAATAGGGTTTCCCCAAAATAGCAACTTAATTTAAGTTCCTTAACAGCAACCCAGGATAACCTAGCCTGGTCACACGCTCTCCCGATTGCCGCAAGTCAAGTGCAGTGGAGTGGGCAGGACTACGCCAGGTTTGACCTTACTCGCTACATCCACATTCGCCCTCGGGGGACCACTGGGTACATTTGGGGCATCACAGTGCAGCATGCTGCCCAGGAGATGGACGTCCAGGCTCGGCATAGTGATGCGGTGAAATACTTCCCGGAATTTGCAGGCTACAGGACCAGCCAAGGCTGGACACTGCGAGAGCTTCTGCGGTGCAAGTATGGCGAAGATGGGAACTTGCTTGCGGAGGGCTTGGACAACGACTTCCAGAATCACATACGGAACGTTCATGGTGCCGGGCAGGCCTGGCTCAATAATCTACAGCTGGGAGGAGCGAGTCGTGAGCACTCGTTCCCCACTGTTGGATGGGGGTATTCCGGGGGCGCCAATGAACAGGTTGAAGTTGGCGACACCTTCGTCTTTACCAATGATAAGACAAAGAATTGCCCCGCATGCAAGGGGAATTCCGCAAAGAGAGTTGGCGCATGGGATGTCCCATGCGCTTGAGATGGATCTTCACAAGTAGCTCGCTCACCGTCTCCTGAGAGGGGGTGACTTTGTGTCCTTCAAGGCTCCGGAGGAGACTTCAAGGGCAATTTGCGAATCCTTTTTTGGAAGGACATCAACCTTAGTTGTGGACTTCTTGCACTTCTTCATATTGTTTTAAAGAAGGTTTAACACTGCCAGGAGTGAGCAAATCACGGCTGCCTTTCGAAGATGCTAGGCGCCAACATTTCCTCAGGGCTCACTTTGGTGTTTGTCTCGCTTAACGTTTATCGCGACGACCACATTATGATCGCAAGCGCTCTTGCAAAGGCGGCTTCGCTTCGTAGCATCAGCGGCCCACAAAATCTCTTTTCGTTCCAGAGCTACCTAGCATGGGGGACAGAGACTCAGCATCTGCTTGGGGACGGTTTAGGGAACAAATCTCGTTAGTTGGGCTCTTGTGGGGACAGTGTGTTGATGATGTCGTGGTGCTCAGCTGGTGCTCGATTTTCACCGCCGATGCAGCGCGAGCAGAGGTTACCAAAAGTGGAAGCTTGCACAGTGGAATTATCAGAAGGAGGGCCCTGTCTCTACGCCACAATTTACAGAGCATTACCCCTAGAAAGGGACCGCGATCTATCCCATTTCTTGACCATGGACACATGAGATTACCTGCAGCATGTGCAATGCTGTGCCAAAGGCTCTCCTTCTTCGACCTGCAGGCTAGGCTGGTAGTTTCCTTTTTGCTTAGACTTCACGGGGTTTTGGCCTTTGCGTTTCCAGATTTAAGGGTCTAAAAGTATAGGCTTTAGGGAAGTTAGGATAGGATGATGGTACTGAACTCAAGCAAAATAGCTGTAGCTTGGAGAGACCTGCCCATAATTCCAGATGTGGCTCTGAGCGATAGGATGACATCGTGCGCTGCATGGTCATCTTGACAAGTCGCCTCCCCTGCCCTGTCCAGCGCCTCCTGCTGCCTCCCCTGCGGCTTCAGTTCGGTATTTTGTTTGGCGTTTGTGTTCCAATACCCTAAACCCTAAACCCTAAACCCTACAATAGCTGAGCTTGACTGATTTTGTTGTGCGGGGGCTGCAGGCCTAGGAATCCCTCTTTGCAGCATCCATACAGTACCAAGACTACGCGCAAGAGGGTTAGAGAATACTGCCTATTTTGTCCCTCGGACCATATAGTCTAAACTTCTCAACGGGGCTTATATAGGGAACCCTAAACCCTATTAGTATAGGGCTTATTCAGGGGGATACTAGGAGCTGGAGCTTATATCAGAGATTACTATAACCCATTTTTATAGGGATCCCCCAAATAAGGTACCCCTCGTTTTGGGAAGCCTCCATGTGTGCCTGCAAGATCACCTTAAAGACCTACGCCCTGCGTGTAATGAAGCCCATTTCTCAGCTGTCCAAGATGGTTGTCATTGTCATCATTCTGGCCATTCCAGCTGATACTAAATATCAAAAAATTGAGAATGACTTCCTACCAAGGTATCATCCCGATTCTTGCTATCGTTTGCAAAGTTGCTTGTTTAGTATTCCGCCCCAAACCCTAAACCCTAGACCCTAAACCCTAAACCTTAAACCCTAAACCCTAGACGATTATTACCACTGTCTTGGTCCTGGTAACCATGGAGGTTTCTTCTGCCAATGTCCCGGCTTGCGCGAGGAGGGTGGAGCTGCACAGGGCCTGCAACCCTAATGTTCGGGTGAGCTGTAGTCTGAAACTCCTTGAAGGAGGTTATTTAGGGGATTATGTAGGGGGCTTATTTAGGGGGATACTCGGAGTTTAGACTAAAGCTCAGGTAAAGGGGAGCGTATCCCTCTGCAGTACGTGTAGTACTCCCTGGAGAATTCCCGAGACGTGTGTTTGAGGATGTTTCAATCGCATTGAGAGCCTGACATAAGGAGCATTCGGGATGACGACCCTAGACCCTAAGCACAAAACCATTGACCGGACAAGGTTCTCGGTGTGAAGCGAGAGCAGTGGCGCAGCATTCTGTGGACAAAAGGAATCCTGTGCGTCTGCATGTGAGCTGGAGTCTAAACTCCTTAAAGGGGGTTATATAGGGAGTATTTTAAAGGTTATTACGGGGGATACTACGATTTTGGACAATGGCTCATGTGTTGAATTCTGTGTCCGCATGCGGCAATTGGTGGCGATGATGTGTTGGGTATCCATGAGGGATATTTCAGAAATTAGCGAGCTCGCTAAGCCCTAAACCCTCATGCCGCAGCATTCGCATCTCACTCGCAACGCGTTGCAAGTACGAGCGGAAGGTTAGGAATAAGCATCATACACAACAGACAGGAGTTGCGGATAGACCACGGCTATATAAGTCTATTTAAGTGCTTGACAAGAATTTGCAACCCCAGACCCTTGCAACCCCTAAAGCCCAAACGCGTTTTGATGACGTCGAAAGCTCTTTGCTTTGATCTCGCACCAACATATAACAGCGCTGCTTGAAGCCTAGCTTGCTTCACTTAGGATTTAGGGTATAGGGTCTGAGGTTATTAACTTATGTTTGAAGGTTTAAGGGTTACTGATGGCTGGTACAGGGAATGAAGGCACAGATCATCGGAATTATTCTGGCAAATTAATTGTGTCAGAGCTTCTACACGGATTCATTCCCTCAGGTACTACTAAATCCTAAGCCTTACATAGTACCTTCATGTTGCTTTCCAGTCCTCTCTAACATCTCCTAATCACAAGTAAGCTAAGAGCCAGCCATGCTGTGCACCAACATAATGCCTACATATACTCCATAAGGACCCCCCCCCATAATCCCCTTAAAATCCCTAGACATCCCTTGGGGTCCCTATGGGCTCCCCTGCTTGCGAAAGTCTCAAGTGACTGACAGCCAATTCGCTGACCTTCCATGAACTTGCTTGGCGAGCCCCCGCCGCCAGCTGAGCGGCAGGACCGGTGGGGAGTGTAGTTTGGGCGTTTAGGGTTTAGGGGCCTTAGGCCCATGCCGCAAAAGCCTAAACCCTAAGCCCCTGGAGCGTACACTTACCCAAAGCTCGATAAGCAGGACTGGCTGCAATCAACGCATCCTGATCTGCAGGACCTTGCGCCGGGTCTTCGGTACGTTCCAGCTTCGAAGCAGACGAAGGTGGCGGTGGAAGCACAAAATGAGTTGGTAGCAAGATAAATTCAGTTTGAATTTATTGACAGTGCAGTACTCAAAACACATTAAAGCGAGTGTGAGCACAATAGTAGTAGGAGCAATGGTAGTAGCATTCATACACTAGCAATACTAAAAAGGATAGCAGCAGTAACTGGCGCAGAGGCACCTAGCAATCTCGCACGGGTAGTTGCCAAAATTAGCTGCCGTAGTATGTTCTATGACCCCCTAAACCCCAAATCCTAAACCCTAAGCCCTAAACCCTAACCTTACTTAAACCCCCTAAACCCCTAAACCCTAAACCCACATCCAGGTGCTTAGCCGACGGAGTGCCGATGGAAGCCGCAGGTCTGAGGAGTCCTTGAAAACACAGCCACGGATTCTTTCTAGGGGCTTAGGGTTTCAGGGTTTAGGGTTCAAGGGTTTCAGGGTTTAGGGTTTAAGGGTTTCAGGGTTTAGGGTTTAAGGGTTTCGGGGTTTAGGGTCTCAGGTTTAGGGTTTAAGGGTTTAGGGTTTCAGGTTTAGGGTTTAAGGGTGTAGGGTTTAAGGGGGCTTAGGGTATCAGGTTTAGGTTTTAGGGTTTACTGTGTAGTTCCTCTTTGGGTCTGTTATGGTTTGGAGGCAAAAGATTCTATTTACTACCCCAAAAAGGAAGTACATAGGAGGGTCTGGGTTCATGGTGCTGGCGCTGCTGGTTTCGGAGTCGGCGGCGGCGGTGGTAGTGGTGGTGGTCGTCGTCGTTGTCGTGATGATAAAGTTGCTGAAATGTTATTGTTGCTGGGCTCGCACTACTTGTATCATGTCACCTAGACCCTCCATCTACCCGCTATATACCCAAAGAGAAGGGTACCCCGAATAGGGACCATATAACCCCATTTAAAGGGTACAAGGACGGTCCTGGCAACATGTTGTAGTGGACAACTGCTGCTATTCTGATACGGTCGTTGATCAAGATAATTCCCGTGTACTCTTCGAGGGCGACCTATGATCTCCCTATAGTCCGCGCTACGTCTCGAGTGTCCTGTTCTGCCTAAGGCTTAAACCCTTAAATCTTTGAGTCTGAGAACCTAAGCCCTAAACATCCCTTATATAAGCTTTCTATAACCCCTGTAAACCCCTTCAAGCCCTAAACCCTAAACCCCTAAACCCTAAACCGCCTGTCGTTTGTCATTGTTGGAGTGTCTTTGCGAGGAGACGCGCCCATGCAATCTGCAGGCTCCGACACAGTTTAGGGTTTTAAGCTTCGTAGCTGAAGATTTTGGGTTGAGGTTTTTACGATCTTAGGATTTAGCGTTTAGGGTATAGGATTCAGTGTTTAGGGTTTAGGGTTGAATTAGGACTAGGGCTCAGGGTTTGGGGCTTAAGGTTTAGAATTACAGTAGGGCTCTTCTGCTGCAAGCTTTGCAGAGCCTCGAGGTCGGAGCGATTCCCAACGCGGCTGGGTCTGCTTATCTCGAGCAGGCAGATCTAGGTTTTAGGGTTCAGGGTTACCAGGGTTTAGGGTTCAGGGTTTAGGGTTTGGGTTAGGATTTAGGGTTGAGGGTTCAGGGATTAGGGTTGTAGGGTTTAGGGTTCGGCATTCAAGTCCAAGCATTTACTTGTTGAGCATCGCCATCAAATAACGAAAAATACCCATCCGCCCAATGGATCCCACATGATTCAGCAAGCTATAACTTAAACTCTAAATCCTGGACCCTAAACCCTGAAAACCTAAACCCTAAACCCTGAACCCTGATAACCCTAAACCCTAAACCCTAAACCTCTAAACACTGAGCAATCAACTCCCAACCCTGAACCCTGGCCGTCAGCCTGAGTCTAGAGGCTCCAGACTAAGGCCACAGGGTAAGGGTTTAGGGTTTAGGGTTTAGGGTTCAGGGTTTAGGGT